AATATCATCGACTCATTCGTATAATCATTAAGCACACAAATAAAATATTTTTGTAGAGGTACACATTGGCAAAATATTTTTTGAAGAACTTTAACTGAAAAACTATGGTTCATTTAAGCCTTGAAAAATGCGTATTTTTTAATATGAATATTTTTTTAATGAAAAAACCTATCGTTTAATTTTGGAAAAAATACTTTTTTCATGTAACGGTTACAAAAGTAATCTTGATAATTTTTTGTAATTTTTTTTAAACGAGCCGTTTTGAATTTATAGCGAAAAATCAACCCCCCCCCCCTTTATCCTTAAGTCACGTTTCTCAAGCGTCTTTCAGACGTAGGACGAAAACATTGTTAGATCTACAAATCTACATGAACAATTCCAAGCTAGAAAAATTTTTTGCTTTAAAAAAATTATTTACATTATATATCAGAGTTCTTAAAACTGTTCAGTCCATTGAAAGTAGATGTATAGGCAATTTTTGACGAAGCTCCCCCCCCCCCCCCCGTTTTTTTTGACGCAGTCATTAGAACTTGATGAAACATAGGTTACCCTCGAGATATATATTTAATCTTTTAAATCCCTGAAGTACCAATTCATTCATTCATTCATGCAGATTAAAATTCTGACAACTAGAATAAGAGTTAAACTATCAACTACTAGAATAAAAGTAAAACTTATTCTCTAAGGATTTCAATTCCATGTGTCCAATACGTAGTCCATACACATGGCTGAAATGCATTTAATTTTATACCTACGTATGAATTCAACTTACATTGAATTTTAATCTCATTTTTCATTAAAAGTGAACGCACAATGTTGAAAATTCAACTCTTCTATGATGTAAACAGACTGGTAAATGAAATATATTGTTCCTTATTTATTTCAAACAAGAGAGGGGTCTAGAAGTACCCCCCACCACCACACACACACACTTGTATGCATCCTTCTTTTGCTTCTATAGACTATAGATAAAATGAAGTATCGTATTCGTCTACATTAACTACAATTTATCAAACTATAAATTCTCCATCTATGTTTAAATTATTCATGTGTCAAAATATTCATGTACAGTGATACATGTATCAAACGTTTTGTTTTGATTTGAGGAAATGCGCACTGAAATTGTTTACAGTGGTAGATCGCAGACCTAGATGGTCGGATATGGCCAGTTTGCCGCATATAAGATATTCATGAATTCGGACCATTTGAATAAACAATTCTATTACATTTTCGGTACTTACTTAGTTTATATTATAGTTTTAAGAGTCTGAATTCATCAGAATTCATTGTAAATGTGTCTTCATAACTGTTCGGCAAACAGGAGGAAATAACGCAAGAAGGGAAGGGGAAAATCTCCCACATTTTTAGAGTTGTTCCTCTTTGACCAGTGAACTTTTGGAAACGGGTTGTAAAACATTTATTTTCCTTAAAAGGAGAACAAAACAGTATTTATATGGCTAATTCTTAATTTTAAGATAGGCCCTTGATCTGGTTATGCGAATGTTACATAGCCAACTGTAACAAAAGAAAGCAATGTATCATAAAAAAGATAAAGAATATTGTTCTGCTAATATTGATCACGGATACGAGTTTCATATAAAATTAAAGAAATTTTAAGACATCTTTCTTTCCTTCCCTTTTTATGGAAGGAGGGGCGGGTTTTAAATCAATAATCAAGGATAATCAAGGATACGATTAGGTATTTCTAAAGAAACCACATCAAGTCCCTAATCCCATTTTCTTTTAATTACGTCAGGATCGATTCGGTCGTCATTTTGACGCTTTATTATAAACGTCAAATTTGACGTCAAGTTAAACATTTAAATGAAATTGCAAGAGTTATCTCCCCCAGTGTGTTGTACGTCTTTAAGGGTTTGCTAAATCGTTAGCTGACAGAGAACGTCCTCTGTAAAAAGTTTCTTTGTTATAAAGTTAAATGTCTTCTACTCTGATTGTGTGGGACAAATTAACGATTGTCAACAGCTTGTAAGTGATCCGTGGGCGACTACACGTACCATATCAAACCGATATCTTAGAACATGCGTTACTTGCAAATCAAAAGATTATTCTCCAAACCTTTATGTGAAAGATTAGACACCAGTATTCGATCCAGTTTTTCAATTTTTAATAGTTCACTGTCCGTGTTCTTGGTTATCTAATTTATATACTCGTATTTCAAAATTGTAATCCATTTAGAGTACTAGTATATGGGCGATTGAACAAAACTTTAAAGAAAATACCTACATTACTAGGTATAAATAAAGTGACAAGAAAACTATTCTTCTCTGATAAAAACAAGTTTGTTTTTTTTTAAATTATATAGGCATTGTGATGATGTCTTTGTCTGCAACTTTGATCAGACTCATAACATTTGAAGGCGAGAAAGAGGGTTGAATTGTGACAATTTGTCGCACAAAGGAAGTACAGTGCATTTATATTTCTAGGTCCATTGTGTTGCAAATCTAAAGCTAAAACTGGTATTGAGATAATTTATAAACTTTTTGTTTTGTTTGTGTGTTTGTTTGTTGTTAAACGTCCCTCTCGAGAATTTTCACTCATATGTAGACGCGAATGTATAAACTCTTTCATGGAACGAATATATAGAATTTCTAAAGGGAGATAAAAGACTTAAGATGATTATAGAGAACAAGACATTTCTTGACTTTTAGCAATATTTGATAAAAGAATGTCTTCTTTCAGATCAAAAGAACGCAAAAAATATTTAAACATCGATTTTTGTATGACATGATTGAGGTCATATATAGGTGAATTTGACAGAAACATATGTGAACAAATATCTGATTAAATATGAAGAAAACAAACAGCAATCAAGCCCAAAAGTCCATTGTAACAACAAAACCCAGGAGCAGAGCAAAGACTGACCCCCAGAACACCCGACGTGAGATTAGGTGCTAAGGAGGAGTACACAGTTTTGCTCCTAAAGATTGTTTAAGTGAGCTTAGTCATTTTAAATACAAAGGATTTCTATCTTGAATCCAAGCAATGGGAAAATACACAAAAACTCTATCCTTTACTATGCTTAGTGTAAGGAACATTTAATTTAAGAATAATTTAAACGGCTTGTTTAAAGTAAAAAAAAGTCACTCGTAGGCTCATAAAAATCATTATGCATTTAATGGAAAGGTTGCTATAGGCGTTTTTCTTCATTATTTTGATAAAAGAACTTGATGCACTTTGTTTGATAGGAAATCTTGCTAGAGAAGCACGCCTTAAAGTTTTATTTTTACTCTCTTTTAAAGATGTAGAAAATTGATAGAACATTTATCAAATTCATCACCAATAGTATATAGATTGAGTTTCTTTGCTATAAAGTTGTTTTAACACCTAAGTGTTAAAATTCAAAACAATGCTGAGAGAAGCCGTGTTCTTCATGTGTATTGTCTTAGTGTGGTGTCAACAATCCCATTCGGTGAGTATAAAATATTCATATCTTGTCATCCTGAAGATTATTTTATTTAAATAAAATGATTCTTTGTCAAGTTATGGATAGGGTTAGAAGTAGATATTTGGAAGATTCTCGAGTTTCTGATTAATAATTTCTATATGTTATTTGGAGAAATGACTTGAAACAATCTGCTGAAATTATTTTTACAAACTTTTGTTTTACATTAAATTCAGATATATATACAGTTTTTTATGAATCATTAACATCCATTTCGTTTATACCTCGCTTCGATATATCTCACTGAACTCGAAATAAAAACACCCCAGAATCTGACACGTATGTTTATGTTTGAATATTTAACCTACTTAATGAGGGCATTGATGGCAAATTAACAATTTTATTTTATTTTTATGCTTAATGTGATGGCTTTATCTCTTCTATCGTTATCTTCTCTTATGTCTGCAAATGTTGTTTAAATCTCTTAGTTAATTCGATACTCGAGACTATCTGTGTACTATCTAAAATATAACAGGCTTTTGCCAAATCTGTTGATGTTACAGGAGTATCACCATTTAAAATTTCAGATATTTTATAATTAGTACGAGGTTATTGCTTAATCATTCTGTTTGGTCAAATATTTGGTCTCATGATGACTGACGTTCTTTGTACAAATTTTCGGGCCCTTATTACATATTTATTCGTTATGGGTCAATCCACTTAAATGATATAGATAAGTTCTCGCCAGGTGACAAGTCTACAGGGAATGCTTTATTCCCCATTGCACGAAATCTTTCCAAGGATTATGTTTTGGATTTGCACGTGATCATTTCATCTTTCTTTTCTTCACAATTATTAGGAATTGGATATTTGAGTTTTATTTATTGTCAAAAATTTTTTTTTCAAATGTATCATATATTTTTTTTCTTTTTTTTCTTTTTTGCGAATTTTTTTTTTAAAATTGGCTAATTTAAATCAAATCATTGAAAATAACATTTGAAATTGATTTGTTATATTCTAAGTATATTTAGCAATATGCTGATCACTACTAGTGGTAGGGAACGGATAACATTATAGCTGAGCCATCACCAACCAAACATTGAAAAAGAAAGGAATGCAAAGATGCACCCGAATTCTTAACATTTGATTTTTAATTGGGATCCTTTACTAACGACATTCAGTCTGGGAGTTTTAATTCTGTATTTAAAAAATGGTAGCAATCTACATGTAATTGTGGGTTTTTTATTTATAAATGTCAATTTTACATTTAAAAGGGAGGGCTAGATACTGGTTCTCACCAGAATAGGATGGTTGTGCGTCCTGACTTTTTAAACATTAACAGAAGGAGTGGATCCAGATTTAAGATAAAGGTAGGCAACACGTGATTTTGATAAAGTTTATAGAAAAATTAACTAGGGGAGGGATAGCTAATATAAATGTCAATATCCAATTTAATAAATAAACACATCCTATCTTCTCCTTAAACATACATCCTTTTTCTTCTTTATATAGGAGGTAGAGGGCGTTGCTACATGTGATCCCAATCCATGTAAAAACAATGGTGAGTGTAGGATACATAATACGTGTATCTGTCCAGTGGAATATACCGGTACTCTATGTGAAGACAACAGTAAGTATAGAATAAGCTTGTGTATATAAGAAATAAATTAAACGCAGGAGCAGTGACTTTAAATTTAAAAATTGTAAATGAAGGATTTTCCAAGTTAAGTTTTATAGCTATAATTTGTCATAAAGCACATACTCACTTTAATATTTTACAATGAGTTCTTACGAAGAATTAATCCCTTTTTTGAAGAATTTCATAAATAAATTAAAATATAACGATTCCAGCCGTTTTTAATTTCAAAAATCCATTGAAACAATACAATTTTGGAGCAGAGCAAAACGAATCCTTTAAAAACATCAGGAGCGAGATCAGGTGTCACATGTTTTCTTTTCGTGTAGAAGTTTTATATTAATTCATATAATTTTCTGCTAGATCTGCTAATTAAGGGTGTAAATAGTACCCATGATTATTCCAACAGAAAATTGAAAGACTTGATCTAAAAAATAAAACAACAAAAGATGCATAAAAATTATCATTCAGATACTCAAACTCTACTGCAAAGGCAAAGGCCCGCGTGGCGCAGTGGTTAGAGCGTCTGCTCTAGAGTCGCGGAGTAAGGAGTTGTTCCTTACGTCGCAGGTTCGAATCCCACTGTGGGACGTGGAGACCGGTCCTTCGGATGAGACCGTATAAACCGAGGCCCCGTGTCGCAGTAGGTGCTGGCACGAAAAAGATCCCTCACTGCTCAATGGCCGTAAGTGCCGAGTATAGGACAAAATTTGTAGCTCTCCACCGGCAAGTGGTGGCGTCTCCATATGAGTGAAAAATTCTCGAGAGGGACGTTAAACAACATACATACAAACAAACGAAACACAGGCAAAGCACGTGATTGTTAACGGATTTTTTCGTTCACCCGATCATGACAAAAACCACATGCCGGGTTTCAACAGGGGATGCTCATTTCTCAATGACACCTGATCCCACCTTTGTTAGCAGATATATTTGTTTGTTCTGCTCACAATGTGTATTGTTAAGTTGAAGTTCGAGCATGATTATTATTAGTATCTTCACATTTCATACAAGTTAAAACTATTTAAGTTTGTTTTACAAAACTTAAATATTCAGAGTTTGTTTAAATTGTTTATAAGTTTTATAATTTCATAAGTTCATATCATAATCTCAGCCGTTTCATGAGTCTTGCCTTGCACAATTTGATTTTATAGCAAGCATTTTTAAACCAGCCTTTATCACAAATTATATTAGCAAAGCTAATATTGATAAACAATGAATGTTTAAATTTCATTTTAGATTTATTAGTCAGATGTGGATTTGAGAAAAACATGTGTAACATTTCCGTTCGCAACTTTACAAGAACCAGTGTAAGTATATATTTATTCAAGAAGCCATATTTTTCATTTGGGAAATATCTTTTTGAATGTTTTTTGCAAAATGTTTCACTCACATTTGTGGACTTTAAATTTTCAGTATGCATGTCTTGAACTCGTTCTATATAATTATATAACCGCGTTTTTTTATATCAAAATATTAATCTCACTACATAATGTGCAACTGGACAGTGGTGATAGTATTGATGATTTTAAATTAGTGATATAAATGATGATACTAATTAGTGATACTAGTATTGATATTAACTAGTGATATAAATGATGATATTAATTAGTGATACTAGTATTGATATTAATTAGTGATACTAGTATTGATATCAGTTAGTGATATAAATGATGATATCAATTAGTGATACTAGTATTGATATTAATTAGTGATACTAGTATTGATATTAACTAGTGATACTAGTATTGATATTAATTAGTGATATAAATGATGATATTAATTAGTGATACTAGTATTGATATTAATTTATTTAGTGATATAAATGATGATACTAATTAGTGATTCTAGTATTGATATTAATTAGTGATATAAATGATGATACTAATTAGTGATACTAGTATTGATATTAATTAGTGATATAAATGATGATATTAATGAGTGATACTAGTATTGATATTAATTAGTGATAAAAATGAAGATATTAATTAGTGATACTAGTATTGATATCAATTAGTGATATTAATGATGATATCAATTAGTGATACTAGTATTGATATTAATTAGTGATACTAGTATTGATATTTATTAGTGATATTAATGAGGATATTAATTAGTGATACTAATATCTATATTAATTTGACTTTTCTCATTACTTGCGGCTAAATACAGTCCTTCTTAGGCATTCCTGTTCCGCCAGAGGGAAAGTATTACGCCTTGGCCTCTATCTCAGCTCCAGAAAGGAAAAATGCAGTAATGGCAGCAAAGTTACCACTTAATAAATTAGGTGAATTTGGTATGAAAGACTTAAAGGACTTATTGCATGTTTCTAAATTATTTGAAATTAAAAGCGTTAAACGTTCCTTATGACCACAGTTTATAAATTTTGTGTTTTTACTGCGGATAAACTGCGGTAATTAATCAATTATTGACTCAAATGAAAACCCCTGATTCAAAAATCTAAGTTAATTAGATAGCGATCACGTGACCCTGTGACGTCAAAGGCGACAATGGCTGATCAGCTCCACGTTAATCTTACGAAAATATACGCGATACAACCTGAATTTTCTGCGTTGTGGACGACCAAATCGCGTATTTTATCCATATGAATTTGAATATCCAACCTATATGTTAGAATTTTCAGCAAGAAAAAATCTGAAAAATCTGTTAACATTGTAAAAATAGCAGCGACGACAGCGAAGGAGACGCGGCGAAGACGAAGAAACTCGCCATCAGAATACGATTTGATTTGTCATCTTATCACATGTATTTACTTATTTGATTCACAAATTTAACATTATATAACTTTGTTGTTCTTCGTTTTTAACATAATAAGTATTTATTTAATTTATGCAAGTCTTCATATGTTTTTTAAAGGATGGCGATCTTGAAAAATAATTTCTCGATCACGAAACATTGCCGTAATCAGAGCTAAATGTTTGGAATAAAAAACGAAAATATCTCACAAGCCTTATACCTTAGAACTAGTTAATGTTTCTATAGTAAATTAAAAGCACGTTAGGAATTAATTTTTTCAGCATTTTTCGTAATTAAGCTGCATTTGTCGTTGATAACTCCGTAAATTGTGTGCATATTCTCATCTCTCTATCACTGAATTGTCGCCTATGACGTCAGAGCAGTATTTCGCCGAAATCGGTCTGAAATATGCATATTGCTGTATTTGAATTTCAACTCCCAATATCTATTAAAATATGCTTTCAACAACGTTTATTGTATTCAGTATTTTAATAAACAAGGTTGTAGATAATATTTTTCATAAAATTACGATTTTTGAAAGATCATGCGATAAGTCCTTTAACAAGATTTTGAAAGATAAATAAAATCAAGGATATTTTGGTGACACAATTCATGTGAACACATTCTTATTCAAATTATGGGCATTTGGGTTATTCTGAAGGTTACATCGGGTATCAATCTATATATTGAATGCATGTATCTTAGGAAAAATCAATTATCTTCTTCATCGAAACAGCAAGTTAACTTCTGTCATATTGATATTCATGTAGTGTGGATAAATTTTGGTTAGCTCATGATACCTTGGGGCTAGCATTTGGCTCCAATTTGAGGTCAATATTTTTCGTTGAATATGGTGGAAAGAAATCCTTCAGTACAAACTTCTGGGGAACATGGAGATCAAGGCGGCTCGGGTGTAGGTTGTGGTCCCTAGGCCTCTAGTTTCTCGGGTGTAGGTTGTGGTCCCTAAGCCTCTAGTTAATTTGCCGAATCATGACTTTTCTCATAGGGAACCTGGGGAATGTTTTCTCACAATTTAAATTAATTTAATTGGATTTACTCTTCTCAATTACAGCCCAGTCTGTTACATATTACAAAGGATAATATATCGATGAATATACAAATTGTTTGTATTTTTGTTCATTAAAAAATCAATTGAAAACGCGAAGCTTATCAAAAACGTTTTGGATCATTATTTATTATATTGATATGATTCACACAGTGCCCCTAAAAGTCCATTTTAAATTTTGAATTTAATTAAGGAATGTTTTTAAGTTTTGTGTGAGTTATTGGTGTGTAAATCACACAGACTTGTCACGTAGCGCGCTAGCGCTTCATGAAAAATATGCCTACGTGCAAGTCTGTGTGATTTACACACCAATAATTCACACTTAACTTAAAAACATTCCTTATATTTACATTTTACAAGTTTAAAAGCGCCAATAATATACTCAATATTTGAATTTCTTGCTGCCCTATATCGTTACATTTTTATTAACGTCTCTATAGCCTCATTGTGACGTCACTTTAGCGCAGGTTTCACCGTGTATATTACTACGCGTGAGTATACACAAAAATGACTTCCAAATCAATTTCACAGTTGGCTTAGTAGAAAAACACAGCAAATGTAAATATATAAATATCATTCATATCAATATTATCGAATTATATGAAGACGGATTTGGTCCATCGGCGCACGAACAAAATTCGGAATAATTAACGTTAGTAACTATTCCAATTGCTTTTGTTTCTCTGATAATATGTAGAGCATGAAACTCAAATTTATAGCAGTTAAACCAGAAACAATACCCTAGTATTATGTCTTATTTTCACACATAAAGGCATCACAGACAAAGGATTGGTGTCCTATTTTTTTAAAGTATTGTTGGAATTGAGTTTGCTGCAAATGATGTCAAACACGTTCGCGGCGCATGGTGTGTAATGATATTGTTTTCAAAATGGTTTGTCCGCTTCGGAGGCAGAAAACGATAGAGAAGCGACTTTACACACTATCGAAGAGAAGTTGTTTATAAATGGCAGGAGATTCAATGACTGTTTTCACAATAGTTAGCTTGTTTGATTGTGTGTAGTTTTACGTCCCATTCGAGAATTTTTCACTCATATGGAGACGTCACCATATACCGATGAAGGGCTTCAAATTTAGACCTTTACTCGGCACTTAGGGCCATTGAGCAGTGAGGGATCTTTTTCGTGCCAACGCCTGCCATGACAGGGGGCCTCGGTTTTTTAAGGTCTCATCCGAAGGACCCGCAACTCTCACTTCAAAGTGCCTAGCGCTTGGCAAATGAACAGTTGCTACCTATTTTTATCGACTTAGGTCAGTCGCGGCCGTAATTCGAACACACGACCATCCGATCACGGAGCGAGCGCTCTACCGACTGAGCTATCGTGACGGTCCACAATAGTTAGACGTTTAAAAAGAAGGATACTGTTTGTTAAATTCAGATGGTGAGGAACGTTCTGCGACATGATCGACGTCATACTTTGTGTAATCTGTGCTTCCTACAGTACATTGAAAGGCAACCTTTCGAGGACTGAATTTTACTCTTATATAAACTTTTAGTCAATGGTGAATTTTAATGAGCCGCTCAGACCAGCGTAATTTGTCATTTTAAAAAAAAAATGACAAGACATGCTTAAGATGGACAGCATTACATGATCATGACGTTATTTTAAACGTAAATCACGATCACTTTATGCGCCGGCGTACGCTTAAATGTTTTTTTTCTTTATTTTTACACAATTTTCTTTTAAATACGTGCATGATTATCATGAAACTTGAAATTCGTGAGTATTAAATGTTGCTTTTTACAGTGATAAGAAAAGAAATTTTATTTAGCAAAGAAAAACTAAATTGATTTCCCTGTCTACGACGTTTTGGTACAACCCTGGTATTATCTATAGACATGTTAAATAAACATGAAGAAAGTGTAATTGATTTATATGCAAAAATAACTTTAGTTTCAGTTTATTAGAGTAAAGAAACATACATCTCATAGACAATATTTTTAATATTTATTAGTGTGTACATTTTAGTACATATAATAGTGAAATTGACATCCGACATGTAATATCATAATGATATTTTCAGTGTATGCAGTGTATATGGCCTCACCCGAAATGTAAGACTAACTAGAAAGAAGTGTCGTTAATTAAGATATAGCATTATCTCACATAAAATCAATTGATTTCAATGTCAGACTGAGTCTATTTTTATGTAGCTACAGAATGGATGCCTTTGCTCGAAATGAAATATTCATAAAATGAAACTTTGAATAAAATGTAACATTGATGGACATATCCTAAAACTGGCACTTTTTTCTTTTTCAAGTTATGGGGAAATCTGTTCGCGTCGATTTTAGTTGTGCTACAATGGGGAGTGCCCTTCTCGACCTTTTGTACCATGACGGCAAAAAGAATGGAACATCTGAATATGCTATGCAGAATGTAACCTCCATTGGACAATGGGAGAACTTTGGCGTCAACCTACTAACTGGAGAAGACATGGTGGTAAGTATCACGGATCTAATGATTTCAATTTCCAAGTAGACAAATCATGATGATAAATATAATTTCAACGGTCTGATAGTTAGAGAATTGATTTTTTTTACACACGAGTACTTCATAAAGTTTCTAAAGATATAATTTTGTAACATTATATTTCCGTAAATGTATAGCCTGGTACTAAAGAAAACATTGCAATCAATGCTATTTGTGAATGTCAAAAAAATTGCCGTGCGCCGACCACCGACATTTAACACCCTTAAAATGTTGTTAATAAATGCAAATGGCATTGGAATCTTGTTTCGTTTAGCCAAAATGACAAAAATATCATTTCCAAACATTATGCCAAAAAGGAATAATTTTGGTCAGGTGGTTTATGAAATATTTAAAAAGTTTGCGTTTTTCTGGGACAACCCTCGTATAAACAGATATGCTATAATCATTTTGGGCATAAAATAAACATTTCAAAAATAGTACAAGAAAGCTTGCTTTCATATTATTTTACTAAAATATAGATTTGCTTAACTTAACATAAAGAAAAAAAAGGAGAAAAAATCAGAATATACTTTGAATTTTGTCATTTGCTTACTCCATTGTTAATTTTTTTTTCCCTACAGTATGTTTTCCTTGCTAAAGTTGGAGGAAAGACGGGTCAAGGTGCTGTAGCTGTTGACAATATAAGATTTACCAAGCCAAAAGAAAAGTAAAGTTCACAGAATTCATTCCTTTCGGATGTTCCTAAGGTTAGAACTGTAATCTACGACAGTCGTCGATTTGACTATGCCGCCGCTTTACTTCGGAACTCTTTACCCTTATGTCTTAAAAAAATCCAAATCCGTCTCCGCTTTTAAAAAAGGTCTTAAAACTCACCTCTTTGAACTTGCCTATGACAGAATGTAAATATTGTATTTTTAGTGATTTAT